TCAGTGGCCCGCGTCGTCGACGCGGGCGCCCATCCGCGAGCGACGATCAAGGCCGCATTGGCAAAGATGCAAGCGGCGCTCCACGCGAGCGACGACGTGCGCTGCCGGTCGGCGTGGAGATGGTGGGGAGTGGGGGTTGGAGATGGGCCCAGGCTGGGGGGTCAGCAGCATCGCAGGGACAAAGGGCCAACAGCTTGGGCCTCAGGTGGCAGAACTCGGATTCCGGAATACTGCAGCTGTGGATTGGACACCGAGCATGGGGGTAGTGTGGGCGTGTAGTAGGGCAGTACTGAAAGCAGATTGGCCATATCTTGCAATGAGTGTGGTGGGGGCGTGTGCGGGGTCGGGCGGTCGAGGGCGTGCTCAACCACCTAGGCAAAACAAGTCGACGCGGAAATGAGCCGAGGAAGATGGGAATGGATGACGGCGATATTTGTACTGGTGATAGTGCACGGTGAGTGATGACCTTGGGTGTGGTTGTGGGTTGCGTAGCTGCTAGTGGGAAGGAGCTAGGTGGTGATGAAGGTGGGCTGATCGGGCGAGCGGGCGGCGGCTGGCGGCTGGTGGTCGGCGAGGCGGGGGCAGCTGAGGGGGCTGTGTCGGGGCTGGGTGGCTTGACATTGCTGTTGGTTGGAGATTGGGCAGTATGAATTGTGATGGTTGAGGGATGCCGGTGTCGGGGTCGGAGATGAGGATGGGGGTGAGACGGAGCGGGGAGAGGAGGAGGAGGAGGAGGAAGAGGAAGCGGAGTGCACGATGGGATGGTGGTGGACATGGCCATGGTATGTGGGTGGTAGTTGTAGCTGGAATGGGAGTGGTGGTGGTGGAGTAGAGAATGAGGGTGGTGGTGGGCGGTGATGGGGCGTAATGAGTATGGTAGGGGGGGATGAGGGGGATCGTGACGTCGGTGGCGTGGCGGCGGAGGGGTGCTGGGTATGGCGATTGGGCTTGACAATTGATGTTGGTAGATGTGATCAGGCTGATGGGTGGGTGTGGAGTGTGGGCAATGAGGGTGGATGGGCTTGGGTGGCGAGGGCGAGGAGGGCGGACGGATGGGATTGAGATCAACGTCGATGGAGACGAGGGCTTGGGATTGAAGAAGGAGACAGACCACTGCACTGTCGCCCACCACTTCATTGCCTAACGCTTGCACT